GTAGAGTAAGGATGTAGGATAATTAAAAAAAGGCGATACAAACTTCAGCATTCTTGGGTTTCCATCTCGCCTGCAATATTTACTAAATGCATGACTTTGGGTAAAATTCTTTGCCCCTCACCATCTTGCTTTGTACAATAAAATGCATTGTTTTGAGGATGAAGGACAAAATGTTTATGCACAATGTATAGGCAAAATCTGGAACATAGAAGGAAATGGATACATGGGAGCTGTTATTGAGAAGCAGTTTATTCCTTCAGAGGCCTGTCTTCTGTCAGTGTAGTATGAGTTTTGTCTACATGTTTGTTCATTCGTTCATTCATTCATTCATTCATGCACTCTTTCACCCAGGAAATATTTATTAAATACTCACTATGTCTCAGGTCCTGTGCTAAGCACTGGGGCTATAACAAGGAATAAAAGAGACAAGTGTCTGCCCTCAGGTTTACCTTCTGCTACAACATGGAAACAATAATAAATAGAAACATATGAAGGTCTGTCCAGAAGGTATCTAGCCATGTAATATGAAAAATAGAGATATTTATTGAAGAAGATAGAAGAAAGATTGTACATAGGACAATGATGCCTCAGTCAACTTCAAAGTAGGCAACTTGGGACCTCACATAGTTCTCCCAGCGTGTCTTCCCTGTTCAAAACACTGCAAAATCCTTTGCTGGAATCACAGTCAGCTGCCCCATCATATTTTCTTGAACCTCATCAACTCTCTAACATCTCTTCCCTTTCAAAGGTGATCTTAGTTTCATGCCAAGATCCCATGTCAAAATCTCAGACACAGTAGTTTTTGGAATCTCCAGATCAGCTTCTAGTTCTCACAATGCCAGTCACTGATCTTTGCTGACTGCAGCCTGTACACATTCAACATTCTCAGGTGTTCTTACAGGCCTTCCAAAATGTGGATCACTCTCAACAGATTCTCAACCATCTTTGAAGCATTTGTGTCACACTTTTATTTGCCCTGCACTCATTGCATCATCCCCAAAAGCCTTCTGAATCATCTGGATAATTTCCGTGGAGGAATGTTCAAGCTTAACGCAAAATTTGATGCAGATTTGTTGCTCTACTCACTCAGTCATTGTGAATGCAATGGCCACACAGTACATGTGTTCACTCAACAGCGTCTACCCTTCCCACTGCTTAGTACAATGAAGTTGTCATTGTTTATATATGTGCATTCCAGTCCCCCCTCCTTCTCTGTCAGGTTGCATTAATATTGAGCAAACTGTTCTCATTATATTAACAATGGCTGGACTTTTTCTGGACAGACCTCATAATGTACATAAATAACAACGTTAGGTAGTAACGACACTTTGCAGTGAAATAAAGGTAAGGCAACTCAGTAGTGATGAGTGTGTGACTTTTAGGTAAGGGGATAGGGAAAGTCTCTCTGATAAGATGACAATAAGAAAAAGCCTGTAAGGAGTGAGGGACCCAGCCTCGGCTGGGTAGCTCAGTTAGTTGGCTGGAGCATCACACCTATGCCAAAAGCTTGCAAGTTCAATCCCCAGTCAGGGAATATAACTAGGGTGTGGGTTTGATACCCGGTCAGCATACGTATAGAAAGCAACTGACCGATGTTTTTCACAAACTGACGTTTGTTTTCTCTCTCTCCCCTCTCCCCCAAATCAATAAATATATCCTCTGGTGAGGATTTAAAAAAAAAGAAATGAGGGAACCAGATGTACAAGGTGCAATTATCCACCCAAGAAGGGACGTGCCTGGTATGATGCTGGAATAGCCTCGCTGGGAACCTTGCTCAGGACACAAGGAACCTGAGAGTCAAGGTTCCATGTGCTCCCAGAGAAGGAGGCTCCACATGCAGCCTCCTCTTTTGGGCCCTGGGCCCTCAGGCTCCCGCTCTCCTTTGCATGGGACACACCAACAGGATTCCACAGGGGACACTGAGGCTCCTCCCGCTGTCAGGCAGCTAGCTCCACAGCGGATTGGGACCAGCCTCAAAGAATAACCAACCATCTAATCCAAGTGACACAAATTGTATAAAAAAAAGATATAGACTGTTTGCTAGGCATCATTTTTACAGAGTACAAGAGAAAACAGAACAATCCTAGAGTGCGCGTGCTGGAGGGATTCCGAATAAGGAAAGACATGAAGACGGGAGAAGGCTCCATCGGGCTTTGCTTGCCGGGGAGGCAGAGAGCCAGAGTGCCAGAGGGAGGGCAGTTATCCGGCCGCCCTGAAAAATGAGATGAAAGAATGTGCACACCCCCACACACACAAAACCACATGGTGCACAATTCAAGGACTTTGAGGTTCCCCTAGTCCCGCCAGCAGACCCCAAGGACTACCCATCACTACCTGCGCAGTTCAGTTGAACTTGCTGACCACAGTGGCTGGTGGAGATTTGGGAACTACAGTTTTGGAGCCCTGACTGGAACCTCCAGCTTCATGGAGGTTGACAAAAAGGAGTACATTAAATAATTCCAGATTTTCCCTTTTCCTTTTTGGCTACTGGCAGGGTCTCAACCCAAACTGGCAAACATAGAGCAGGTGTGCTCTTTGGCCTCTCTTCACCCTCGGCAGGTCCAGCCACGGTGTAGCCTCACAAAATTCTCAACACCTCCATCCCAGTCCCCACCGACGATGGCACCCAACACACAGGTGGGTTTGCCTCCGCAGCCTCCTTCCCCCTTTATATTAGAAATGGTGTTAACAACCCACTGGCAGAGGGACACATGGCTTGATTTTTTTTAATCTAGTAGTTAATGAATGATGTGAGATTTTTGCATATTTCCTCATCTTGTCTGAGAAGAAGTTAGGTTGAGGACAGGGGTAGAGACTGTGGTCAGAAAACTGATTTTCTGTTTGAAACTAAGGGGCTGATTTAATACCTTCATCTCAGGTTCAAAGCAAGGATCCCACGTAGCCATGAAGCTTCTTAGTAATAAGTCACAGATCTATGTAAGCACGCACACTCACGTGCATGCATGTATGTGCACGTACGTGTGTACAGGGTTTCATGAGAGAAAAGTCTGAAGGCAGGCAGGAGGGGACAAAGAGGGAGATAAGATATGAAGTCGTATGGGAGCTGAGAAATCATTCTGGTCTAACAAGAGTAAACCTTGTAATAATATCAGAGTTGAACCAGCAGATATGCCAGTAAAATGCTTTTATTATTTGCCTTATTTGGACCTAGTCCACATTTCTACTTAATTGTTCCTCTCATTTTCTTGGGTAATAATTATAAGGCTAACTTTTCAAATAAAATAAAATTTTTCCTCTGCTTTATGCAGATTGTCTACAAAGCAGGTTAAGGCAAGTATCTCCAAACCCTTGTTCTAGCCAGTCAGTCTTGGAGGTTCAGTGTATGACCTTGCTAGTGGAGAAAAGTCACTTGGGATGGTGGGTCAATGAGCCTCTTTAGGCTCAGTTTCCTTGTTTATTAGATAAAGATGTTGGACTAGTTAATAGAAGATACATGTTTGTGGGTGTGCATGCTTGCGTGTGTGTGTGTGTGGTATGAGGTAAATAGTGGTGTAAACATTTTGCATAAACTGGTAATTAGTTTCAATATGTTCTACTGTGAGTCTCTAACCCTAACCTGGTCGCTGACCTCTCTGCCATTGGTCAAGGGCTGCTAGCAAGGGTAAGATAGAAGATCTGAAAAATCCACTATTGCAATGTGTAAGACATCAAAGCAAACGTCCTTCCAATGGATCAATAATACTTTCTGATACTCAACATGATGGAAACTTTCACTTTACACTCACTGGGACTGTATCTTCTTGGTCTGTGAAACAGGGTAATAAAGCCCATAAATGAGAAATGACTTATTGCTTTTGGAAACAGTATGTAAAGTGTTAAAAGTTACTTACAGACACATATATGACTGTCTGTTTTTTAAGTAATTTCTAGGAAACTTTAAGATCCAATCCCTGACTTCCCCTGCTTTGTTCTGTGTCTCAGAGAGTCATTCCTGCAAACTTCATTTGCCAGGGTAATGAATGAGCTCAGTAGCTTCTGGGTACATTTGGCCAATGGGAAGCACTTGTGGGAGATTAGGAGGCAGGGAGATGCCAGGGCACTCCTTCTCCTCCCTGCTCTAGGCATTGAGAGAAGTCTCTAGTAGCAATTCCTCTGTGGTTTTACTGCCTTTTGGAAAACTGGTTGCAACTCCTACTGCGGCAGCCTACACCACAGGTACAGCTCTTTCTGGGTGGCTCCAGCACCCACCACCTCCCCCTTTTGATTCTCCAGCCCTAAGGGTAACAGCAGCCTGTTCCTGCAGTAGCTCGTTTCTGTATTGCCTCATGGTGCCTTCAGCTCTTCCAACCTTTGCAGTGAATTCCTTCCATGGCATCATGTGGCCCTGCTTTCCTGAGTGGACTCTGAGACTCCTTGTCAAGGGGACTACAGATTCTAGAAACTTAACACCATGTTTAGGAGTATACAGACTCCAGGAAATGTACCTGGCAATTTATTACTTCTTCACTGCCAGGGAAGGTCTCTCAAAGATTTCAGTTGCCTGACCATTTAGTACTATTTGCACTACACATGTGTTAGAGTGATGGAATACTGGGTGGAGAATTACAGAGCTAGAACTCACTACCCAGTTGTGTGACCTTCACAAGTACCTTAGAGCTAACTGAACCTGGCCATTCATGTCACAGCGGGGTCAGAGATCATCTGGCCTGCCTGACTGCCCATTAGGCTCAAACACGGAAGGGCATGGAAATACGTTTTAGAAACTGACATAGCCTTGGCAAATCTAAATATATTACTATTATTGATGGGACACAGTTGGCGTTCAGAGGACAAAAAAGTGCTTTGCACTCAACCCAATTTTGATTTCTCAGCTGATTTGCACTGAGTGCACTACCACCGGAAAAGTGTGCTGTCTGGTGCCTGGCGCATCATAAGGGGTACGTGGGTTCCAGCAATGATTTCTGTGCTGGGCCTCCCTTTGCAGCATGACAACTTGTCGGTTACCAAAGACCATGCAGGGAGGTTCCAGGTCAACTTACCGATGTCGAGGACCCTCTGCTTCGCCGTATGCTGCCGAGAGTGCCAGTACTTCCAGTATTTCAGCTGCTCATCTCGGTTTTTGTCTTCACTGAAGACCACCATCACCACGCTCTGTGGAGGGGAGAATACTGGAACTTACTTTCTGTTCAGAGCCTCAGTTTCTTCACATGGTCTCCAATTCTGGAAGTTCTACCAGAAGCGTGTTTCTGTAGTGTGGCTTTTCTTAGTTTACAAAACCCAGACAAGTTCAGTTATATGGTTTGTTTTATTTTTAAAATGAGCCTACTTAAAAAAAAAAAAAATTGGAAATGAGAACAGCACATAGAAAACAAGAATCCTACATCATTTTTACCAAGTCAAAACAACCGAATTAACCAAGTACCAGCAAATTTAATATTTTGTGAGGTGTGTAGGAATACCAAAAAATTTTTTGCTTGTACAGATAAAAAGCACATTTTTGAAATTTTGTATCCTTAAACACAGATTCTGGCAGCATTTTTAAAGGAGAAAATATGTTTCTGGCCTAATTAAGTGCCTCAGGTTGGAATACTGGATCAATGAGAGGTGCTAAACTATTGAGAGGAATACTAAAAGATGAGTTCCCATTGATGAAGATAGAGCTAAGCCACAGATATTTCATAGACCAAAAGATACAAGGTCAACCATGTTCTTTATTTCAATATAATGTGACATACTTTAAAAGTGAGCTTGAGAAACTTTGAGAATACAAAAACCCCTTTCAGTTCTAAATTATAAACAGCCTCATTAAGCGAAACACACATTAATTCACCGTCATTTAGGAGATGAAGAAGGTACCAAAAACAAATAAGCAAACCCAAAGAACCCTTTAATTAGAGCATCAGGGATATGACTCTCCCCTTATCCCTCCATGTCCTGCTGGATGGAGAAATGAGCGGCAATCCTTCCTTGTCTTTCTCACTGAAACAAAACCAGAAGACCCAGTTGATCCAGAGAGGAGCACTGCAGTGATTTTACTGAAAGGTAGACAGATGCAGGCAGGCTGGCCAGCCAGTGCCCAGGCCCTCTTCTTTCTCTTCTATCACATTCGTTGTCTCAGATGGGAATCGGGATAGGGGTAACCTCGGGCGCACAGCATAGCACCCCTCGCCTTAGTGTGTAAGGAGCCTAGGATCAGGGAGCTATGGATAAAATAGGGTGGTTTGGGCACCATGCACACAGCAGCATAGATCGTTTTGCAGCTGGGCAGGAAAGTCCTTCAGCCTCTTTCAAAGATCTGTTATAATTTTCCTTTGCAGTAGAGAGGGATTACCGGTTCCCTCCCTTCTTGGCAGTAATGAGAATGCCAGAAGCTGGCAGGCTTCCAAGGCACTTTCATTTCCCACAAATAGGACTAACACTCATGATCATGAAAATTCTTCCAAGTCACTCCGAGTAAGGATCGTATCTGTCTTGCCCCCTGGCTCCTGAATAAGCACTGGGCTGCAGAAGGCTTTTAAACAAAGCTGCAAGGGGTCCAGGGACACAGATGAATCGCATTCTCCTCTACAGAAGAAAACAGCAGCAAATATGTAGAAATATGTTCTGGCTTACAGCTACTTGCTTAAAAAATTGGAAGCAACTGATTGAACATGACAACAACAACAGCCAGGTAGCACACAGGTAATGAATGAAGCCAGAAAAATTCCTTGCATACAGTTAGAAAGCATGTTCCAAACCTGTCCCTCCCCCGGGGTTTATTGGTTACTGATTAAAATGATAAACTACAAGCCAATGAGTTCTCTTGCCCCCACTCATTAACATTTGTTCTAGAATTATTTATTTTGGAATTTTTTACATGCCCTTCCCACATGACTGTGAAGTAGCAATTGCATTCATCTGACCCCACTGTGGTTTACTGAAGAAATGCAGTGCATACCCTGACTTTGCTGATTGGGTGTCGGAAGCATTTGTTGTCTCCAGTCTCACTGAGCGTTATGGCATAAAACTGTCCCTTGTTGAGGTAGGTCATGGGGCCTTCCCCCTGCTTCTGACGGAGAGATTTGGTGGCTTCCAGGGTGTACTGAAATGTGCCACTGTGAACGGAAAACAAACAGTGGTTCAATTCACTCACTTGAACATTACTGCCTTCCTGATCAATTTCACATTGATATTTTTTTGGTATGAATATTAACCAATATTTACTCTATTTCAGAGACAAAAACACAGCATATGGCAAAAGAGATGAGACAAGACCAAAGGTTATTGCTAGTTCAATGTATACAACTTTCCTAATAGTGGTCCATAAACCAGATGGTTTAGAAGAGGACAAAGTCCATGATGTGCCTGGCCCATTGTGCAAGGTAGCGCCAGCAGAATCTCTGTTAGGTTTATTTGGCAATAGGCAACACCTGAAGCTTAAGAATTTATAGAATTTGCCACTTTTATCCTAGCAACAAACCAAATGTGTGAAAGCTTTTGTTCAAGTCATGCATAGATATATCTCACCTTTTTTTTTTTGTCTAACCAAGATATTGAAAATATATTACACTTTTCAAAACCTGAAAACATGAAAACCCAAAACTCAAACATTCCCTACTAAAAATCCAGTTCCATAACAGGGAGTAATTTTGATGATTGTGTTTTGATTTTCAAGCCTGCAAAAGAACTCATGACAGGGTTGCGGCTCCAAATTCCCAGTCAAAATGACTGGGACCGAAACAAAGGTCCATGGGCCAAATCCAATTCACTGCCTGTTTTGCAAATAAAGTTTTATTAGAAAACAGCTACATTCATTCATTTATTGAATGTCTATGGCTGCTTGTCTATGGCTGCTTTCACACTGCATAGCAGACGTGAGTAGTTGGGACTGCACAGTTTGCCAAATCTAAAATATTTACTGTATAGTGCATTACAGAAAAAGTGTACAAATTCTTGCTCTTAATAATTTCCCTAATATTTTAAAAATATGATTTAACTTAAAAAACAAAACACTCATTATCCCTATTTTAAAGTAAATATTAATTATTTAAAATGAGCAACAAATCATAATATTTTTTAACATGCTCACTCAGAAGTATTTATTTCTGCTGCACCACAGGATGGCACACAGTGATGATCCAATAACAAAAACTTTGTGATTTTCTGAATCGTCAGAATCTCTTCAAGGAGTCTACCTATTTTTTAGCTCTTTAGGCCTAGATTATGGGGAACTCTTGCTTTCTACGTTTAATATTTTTTGCAATATTTGACTTTTCTAATATTCATAATGAGAAAAAATTTGAAGGACAGAATAATATTCCTCCTACATGATAAAAATCTTAGGCTTAAGCCGATAAACTAAACAGATTCCAGAATATATGTCTTAGAACAAGGTGGGAAATAAATCATTCACGACAGAATCAATTCCAGTATCACTTTGCCTGGAAAAAGCAATTTTAATATAGCCATTGAATCATAGAATTTGAGACTTGGACAGGATATTAAGAACTGCCTAGACCAGTAGCTTGCAATTTGTCTAGGGCACAGACTGCTTGAAAAACAAGAAAAGAGCTGTGAATCCTCTTCCTAGAAAAAAAACATATATTAACATAAATGCTTTTGAATATAATTTTGGGGTTTTGTGTCTCCCAAGCGTATCTATAACAGAGGCTAAGAACCACCTTCCTCATTCCATAGCTGAGGAGAGGCTGGGAAATTTGCTCACTCCACAGCAATGACAGCAGCAGAAAAAGAAACTAGGTCAAGGGACTAGTAGGTCAATGCTTCAGTGCTCCTCACTGACTGACAGCTAATTATAGAGTGAACTGGGTTGATTTATAGCATGCAAATTATGTATGTATTTCCACATCTTAACAGGTGATTTGGAACTCTAGCCTTCCCCCTCTTCCCTCCCCACGCCACCGAATTCTGACTAGGACGGTCTGGGGAGGGTGACTGGGGAGCCGGAGATTAGAGCAAGACCCCAAAAGACCGAAGGACTTCAAGTAGAAATAGAGACTAGAAGAGGGAAATACATATAAAAGCAAAGGGGCAAGAAAGACAAGCGTTAAAGAAAGACCAGCACATAGAGGGCCCTAACCACCTTCATAAGGTAAGTGTTTAACTTAGAAATGGTGAAATCACTGGTCAGTTTTGTAAGTATGAGGGATAAAAACATTTCTCGCTATTCTCTTCTGTCTTCAGGCATGATCACAACCAAGGTCTTTGAACATCTGGGTGCTCAACTAGACTGTTCTTAATTCTCCTTCTTTTTTCTGGAAAACTCCTGCTGCTAATCCTTCCAGATCTAGTCCTAATTCCAATTTCCTGTGAGACTTTGCCTCCAGCCCCAGCCACACCGACACACTCAACCACATACTGCAGGTCCTTTCAGCATTCTGTTTACGTATCTCTGTAGAAGACTCATCACTTACCAAAAGTATTGCAATTTGTCCATCACCAAATTTGTTTCCTCCAAAAGCCGTTGGGCCTTTTGTTAGGATAGGTTACATCTTACCCCTAAACCCTATTGCATTGCTGGCACATGGGAAGGCACTCGAGTGTGGACTGGCTGGCAGATATGTGCAAAGTGGAATGGAAGGGGAAAGAAAGCATTGACAGGGAGATTAATTATATTGCAATAGGTCAGGAGAACATGAACAAGAGCACATTGGAAAGGAAAGGACAGCTAGAACAGAACACTCAGCACTTAACAAGTGAGGTGAAAGTGCAGCAGGAAGGCAGGCAGATCCTTACACCTCTAAAGTGGTGGCCCGGAGGATGGTTACATCATTAGCCACAACAGGGAAGAAAAGCAGAAGACCAGATATGAAAGAGGTGGAGAAGGAAGGAAAGGAGAGGGAAAGAAAGATAAGGAGTTCCAGTATGCACGTGTTGGCTTGGAGGCACCTAAGTTCAGGGGAACACCTGAGAAGCAATGTCTAGTCAACCAAAGGGCAAAGATATGGTAGGGGCCTCAGAAAATTGGTCAAGACTAGAAATAGTATGTTATAAGTCCTTTGTATAGAGAAGAGAATTGAACATAAAGGAAATCAGATTGTTCAATGAAAGTATACAGAGAAAGAGGTCTAAAAGTATAACTGGGGCGTACATTTAAAGACTCATCCATTCATCAATTTTCAGGGGCATCTCCTGGTACTACCTACCTTGATGTCTGGTCATACATGTATTCCTCAGCCCCAACTGAAGCACTCCGAAATTTCTATAAAATTTCAAAGTTAAAGAAATTAAAACAAAGAAGTGAGTCATTATTACAAATTTAAAAAATGATCAATGTGTCCACACTGTTTTATCCTCACTTTTGAAAGGAAATGATATATCTTTTGGGCATTACGTTTTCACCTACAGTGAAGATAGTTACCATTTGTGCACAGAACTCGCATAGCACCTGCACACTGAGAATGATGCTCAACAAAATGCATTTGTACTTTGTGCATGATTCACATGTCTGCAGGTGTTCTTAAAGCGTTTGCAGGTACTGGAAACTGTTTCCTCAAACACATAAAGCATCTCTTCCATTTTCTATTATTTTTAGTACTTATTTCAAAAGTCACAGGTTCTGAGTTACTGGACCAGTAATTACAGAGAGGCCCCATATTATAGCACACATATTATAGCAGAGTGGTTTGGAGCATAGTTTCTAGAGTGAGACTGTCGAGGGTGAAGTTCCAGCTCTTTTGCCTGCTATCTGTGTAAACCGAGGCAAGTGCCATATTTTCTCCATCTGTAAAATTCCTCCTTATGGTGATTAGAAGGATTAAATGTGTGACTAAAAGTATAAGAACAGTGCCTGGTACATAATAAGCATTATATATGTGTATTAAATTCTGTAACAGTAATAACATGACCATATTCAGCGCCCTGCTCTAAGATACCCAATATCACAATATTGTAAGAGCAAGCTTTGGGAGAAACTATAAGTTTTTAAGACATAAGTCTTAGTATTATGTGAAGAAGTTTGGGTCCAGAGATGTTCAGTTGTTGTATATTTAGTGCAAGTAGGATGCTATCTGCTACTTAGAACTTTTTCAAAAGCAAATGCACAAAAGCCCTAACTCTTGATCCTAAAATGAACTTAATAGACTATTGATGAAAAAAGCATTTTGTTGACCTCGCAACACCTGGTCCTTCCATTGTGACTAACGTATTTTGACCAGCAGTTCAAATGTTTCCTTCTCAGGAAAGGATTACTCATAGCTATTTTACAAACTTTCTTCACAATCCCTAACCAACACCTCTAGAATTTAGTGTACCCTTATATCACAGTTTATGTATATATACTTATGACCTTTATTTTTATCCAGTCTTATAAATTCCTTGGATACAAAAAGATGGTTTGCCCTTCAAAATTTACCCCAATGTACCACAGGAATATTTCACAAATGCTTGTTGACTGGTTCAATAATCATGACAGAGAATCGAAGATTCAGATTTATGTTTCCTTTATAATCAATCAATCAATCAATCAGTAAATCACTCAATGGGCATTTTCTGGAGCTTCATCTTCTCGATGACAGGAGAAATAGAGAAAAACTATAAGACACTGTTCTGTCCCTAAAGAGATAAAAATTGGTAGTAGAGAAGGGTAAATTCACATGGAAAACAACAACAGAAACAAAAATACAGCAGATGACTGAATATGAAAGTCTATGGGGAATCTTTCTTTCATTCATGCAGATGTCCTGGCTGGAAAAGCACAGAATGGGCATTGCCAGGAAAGGGAGATCAGCAGAACTGCGGGAAGGTCTCATGGAGATTGGGAACCTTGCTCTCACCTTGGAAGTTGAAGTGAAGCTGGATTAACTGACGAAATCAAAAGACAATAATCCAGGTGAGCTAGGACCGCCATGATTCAAAACAAAATGATGGGTAAAAATGCGGTGCTTATTAGGTTAGCCAAAAAAGTTTGTTACATTTTTTTCCAACCGGTGGCTGTAGTAGAGCTTAGTTGTCTTTAAATTCATTCAGAACAATTTTGTTAGACTGTCTTTTGACAGCTATTATATTAGTGTGCATTTTTTAAAAATCTTATCAAAACTGGTGAATTCATGTGCAGCCATTTTAATATTAAAGGTGGAAGAAAATATGCAAGCTTTCTGGCATATTATGCTTTATCATTCCAAGAAAAGCAAAAACGCAACTGAAAAACACACACACACACACACAAAGATTTGTGCAGTGTACGGAGAAGGTGCTGTGACTGATCAAATGTGTCAAAAGTTGTTTGTGAAGTTTCTTGGCACTACTGACATTTTAACCAAATAATTCTTTGCTGTGGGGCTATCTTATGCATTAGAAGATGTTTAGCAGCACCCCTGGCCTCTACCCACTAGAAGCCAATAGCAGGAGATAGCCAACATCCTCAAAATATCCAAATCAGTAAAGTTATTGGTGAAAAGGAAAAATGTGTCTTTCATTTTACAGAAAAACATAACCGACTTTCTGGCCAATCCAATACTTGGGGTCAAGGGCACAGGCCTGATTATGAAGGGAGGGCCTGAAAACCAAGGTCTTCACTGCCCGATACAGGAGCCACTAGCCAAATGTGCTAAAGTTAATTAGAATTGAATTAAGTTAAACATTCAGTTCCTTAGTCAATGAGCTATATTTCAAATACTAAATGACACATGCATGTAGTGGCTACCCTATTGGATAGCACAAAAGAAAATTTCCATTGTTGCAGAAAGTTCTATTGGACAGGGCTGATTTGTGAAGAGGTATTTACACATAGTCTAGTTAAAAATTAGGAGAATTTAGAGTAGGAGGGTAGCATGATGAAAAAGGCATTTAAGGAAGTATTTTAGAGGTTGAGGAGATGTATTTCCAAAGTCTACTTTGGAATGGAATATGCAGTAAGCTGCACAGGGTGAATGAGTATTAATAAATACGGCCTTGAATAAATGTATTGTCCATGCTATAGAGCTCTGCAACCTACTAAAACACATTGGACTTACAGATACTACAATTCTAACCCACCAGGTGATGTGAGAAGGCGCGGTACACGACAACTGTTCAGACTCAGAGACTGTCTATATACTGACAGAAATAAGGACTCTTGCTCCAATAACTATGAGTGCATGTGAACAAGAACTATGAAATAATAGTTGGTATGTTTTAGACACAGAATTACTGTTTTCAAGCTTTAAAAATGTTTCCTTAATTCTGTTACATTATCTTCATAATTTTAAAAAATGGAGAGCCCACTTGGAAAATATCATGATTCCTTACGAGACCCGATCACATCGATGAGTCACATGGCCCTAAGTGATTTAGTCTGAAGAATTAGGACCAAAATGCTTGGGCCATTCTGGCTACAGTTACCAAGTTTCCACAACTGTTTGGAAACCTTTGATATAATTTCTAGGATGCCTAAAGGCAGGCAGACAGCCAACATCACTATACCTAACTGTGATTTGATGATTTGATGTAGTGCATCTACATAGTTCTTAATCATTTGGACCAAACTACTCCCTTCCTGATACCACCCCCCCACACACACACACGATTAAGTCTCTAATAGCAAATGAAGCCTGCTAATTCAGCAAGGGTCCTGGACATTTTATTAGTATTCTTAAAAGAAGTACTAGATTATAGACAAATTTTGCTTAGTGAAATTTACTTGGTGAAGTTACTGAGCCCACCTAATCTTATAACCTGTTGGTAATGCCATAGCTAAAGATCATAATAGAGCATTCCATTAATTCATATCAGAATGAAATACAATATGCAATGTAAACACTGATTTCCAAGACTAGGAGAGCAGTGAAAATATTTCAAATATTCCAGATTCAGTGGGAATAATCTTCATATTTAGTTTCTGGTAAATTACTTTCTCAGGCACCTCAAAACAAAACCCCAAATACAATAGCTTCCTTTCACAAGCCTCTTTATCTGCAACACAAACACAACTGATAACACATCCCCCAAATAGCATGATGGTTCCGTTGACATTGGACCACATCCATGGACTCTTCTGTGACTAATGGAATATTTCTACACCATGTAAGAAAAATAACAGTGGCAACCCGTTAGTGAAAAAGCATGGATTTCATATTCCCATGTGGAGTGATTTGCTTTTCCTAAGGAAGCACCCCGACTGCTTGAGAACAAATCAAATATTCAATAGTACTACCAAACACCCTACAAGTTTCCTTACTCAATTAAAAAAAAAAATCTGCTAATTACTTTAAGCAATATAGCGCAGGAAGCAAAGGACACTAACTTGAAGAATATTTTTCATTATAAGATGTTGAAATTTTGATTATAAAGCTATCAGAACTCAAAAAATATAATGGCCTCTCAAGGGCAGGGAATTGATCAAGCCTTGCTCTGCTCATTGCTGATTTCATAGAATACCCAGCAGGCACTTGGCAACGGCTGGTGCCAGGAATGGAAGGGCTGCTAGGGCAACTTGTCTACCCTAACTTTCTACCAACACTTCAGAGAGTTAGTCCCTGTTGTTCCTCTCCTCCCTGTCTGAAAGATAAAAAATAACTAATTACATAGATAAAGGACACTCAGATTTAAAAAAAAAAAAAAAAAAAAAGGTGTATGAGTGAATCACTGTCTTAAGCATTGGGACTACTGAGATTAGAAGGTTCCACACAGTTTCTCTGAGTGTATATAGGTAAGAACACTGGTTCTGCAGGAGATATCCCGCGATGAGTCCTCTCTCCCACTTACTGCAGTATGACCATGGGCATATTTATGCTCTCTGTGCCTTAGTTTCCTCATTTGGCAAATAGTGATGACAATAATAGTACCTACCTCATAGGGGATTTTGCAGGGGTTAAGTGAGTGTATATCACTTGGAATGATACCCAGTACACGGTAAGTGCCTATTAAATGTTTATTATTTTTAAATATTATTGTTCAGGGATGCAATCTCAGCCTCAGGTAGCTGCATTTTGTCCCAGTGGTAACGACGTGAGCAGCAGGCTGCATCTGGCATGCAGCCACCATGCTCACTCCTCTTTAGAAAATTAGAAACCACATGTCCTCCCCTTCTGCCCTGGTCTTTACTGGCCCAGGTGGACTGAAAAAATGGGAAACCAATGACCATCATCCCAAATGCACAGGCACTGCACCTAAATGTCAAAGCTGACTGAACTAATAAAAAAAAGAAATACATTACATATTCTGGGTCAAAAACTAAAGAGATGATCTGCAATTATATCAGCAATTGATGTTATATATCATACATTGTGATGTATACTTACCATGAAACACTACTTAGCAATTAAAAAAACAAACTCTTAACACAAGCAACAACATGAATGAATCTCAAAAATATTATGCTAAGTGAAATAGAACAACAAAGAGGACTATGTACTCTATTATACCATGAGTATGAAATTTCAGAAAAAGCCAAACCAGAGTGACAGAAGGCAAGTTCATGCTTGTCAAGAACAAGGCAGAGGAGAGGACTTGAAGTGCAAGGGGACTCAAAGGGACTTTTAGGATGAGGGGGCTTTCTACTGAGTCTGATGTGGGTTATACAATTGAATACAGTACCAATGCCTTCCTACTGTGTATGGAAACCATGGGATTTTATAAACCAAATGAGCAAGCAGAGATCATTGTTTCTACAAATTCTGTGGGCACTTGAGCAGACTATGTAGTCTCTATAAGGTACGAAGTACATATATACGCTTGGTTATTGAAAATACAAACTCTTTCTTGAATACTCAATCAGACAAAGGTCATAGAATTATATTGTTTTTAAAAAGAATGAGCAGGCAACACTTTCAGCTACTTTAGATGGTTGTTTAGATGGTTGCAAAGTAGGAAAGGTCAAGGCAAAAATTTTTAAAAGTAGGAAGTTTCCACACAAAGATCTCATTATTCCTCATAAATATTTAATTTTAAGACTAAAACTAAAACAAAGGAATCTGACATCTAAGAGTCAAAAAAATATTCCTCCATACACCTAGACACATGGTTTATTAAAGCCTGTTTATAACAAAAAAATATAAGCACATTTTAAAAAATAACCGTAAACTCACAGTTTAATTCATTTATCCCACTTAAAAACGAAATAGAGGGGGCAAGGTGAGCTAGGGCCCTGGACTTAGGTTCTTGCTACCGACAAAAGAGCAGGGCCTCACCTCCGTGGTTCCGTCCTTGAAGCTCTCGCTGTAAGTGCTGTCCGGGGTGCTGCGCTGGTCATCCTTGAGGTAGGGGCCGTGGCTGGCCATGGAGGGCACTCCGTACTGAGTCTGCTCAAAGATGACCACCCGCTGCTCCTCGCCATCGCTGCGGGGATAATGCACGGGCGGGGCCATGAAAACCGGGGTGAAATCTTCAGCTTTCACCACCGTGATTCCTGACACCGGGACGATGGCGGGGCTCTCGGTCGTGCTGTACTGTTCCCGTTTCGAATTCTCCAGGTGGTCTTGGTTTAGGGAAAGGTTCACTGGAACAGTCTTTAGGACCTGCACTCGATTTTCTCCTCCACTCACATTACTCTGGGCTTCACTGGTGCCAAGACAGTTTCTGTGTGTTTAAACCCACCCCGCAATATGATAGAATTAGAAAAATGACCATTTTGCCACTCTTAATAAAATAACTGATGCAGGCAATAATCAGCAGATGCAAATGTATGATAATCAAAGGAAAGGTTGATGGTGAATTTTACAATGGGATGCAATGGATCTTTGCATCACTAGAAGGAGGGCACCTACATGTGAGTCTCACGGTATCATGCAATCAGCCTCACCTAGGAAGTGTTATTACCCCCCTCCAAAAAAATTGACCTTAAATCTAAGTAGCCTTTGTGTCTAACTTACAGCTCTCAGGAAATACAGGAGCTGGAAGAAAGACTTAGACAACATCATAAAGAAGAAATCAGACAAATCAGAATGCAGCACACCTTACTGACCTGGTTTTTTCAGTAAGTCAGAAGCATGAAAAAGGAAGAAGAGTGGGAAGCTGGTTCTAGATTAAAAGAGATTTTAAAGACATAACAATCAAATATGATGAGTATATCTTGTTTAGATCCTGATCTGAACAAACCAAAGGGGCATTGATGAAACAATAGGATTTTTGAGGCAATTGAATATGGACTGGGAGTTAGGTGATATTAAGGAAGTATGTTAATTTAGTAAGTATAATAAAGATTTTGAGGTTATGTAATAAAATGTTCCAGGTGTTTTTTAAGATACAAGACAGAAGTAGTGTAAGGTAAAATGACATGATGCCAGGGACTTATTTTAAATACTATTACAATTTAAAAAAGAAAAGGAAAGAGAGGAAAGGTAGAGATTAAAAAGGTGTAACAAAATGATATCGCTGCTGAATCTGGAAGATGGGATGAGTATTTGGGGGGTCATTATACTGTCCTTTTTACTTCTGGATATGTTTGAAAACTTTCAAAAGAAAACATTTTAAAGTAGCTTTTATTTAAAAAGGCAGAAAAAGAACTAACATGGTAATTTGAGAGGAGATGGGAAGGATATTTTTCACTTTATATGGGCTAAACTAAAATTTAGGAATTGTAGGAAAAGTAAGAAGTGAAAATTTATCATTAAAATATTTTCACTGAACTAAGAAATAACATGAGCTCACTGCTAGCCTTAGCATTGAATTGCTTTCAGGGCTTAAGGAAATGGTGTAACTGGGCTTATGTGAAACAAGATCTCTCAGATCTCAGACCTCCTGGCTGGTACAAAGAAAAAGGAGAGGATTTAGAAAATTAATTCTTGCCAAGCTAGGATGAAATATTTTCATTTATATTAAAGAATTCTAGGAGAGAGCTGAAGCAAAAAGTGTCTCATTTATGGAAGATTATTATTGATCACAATTTGACTTTACTAGCAAAGTCCCTGTGGTCAGTAGAATCTGGGGCCACCTCTCACTTATTTATGGACTATTCTGATTGCTTATAGAGAAGAAATGCCTATCTTGCACGGAGCTCTGCCTCCAATGTCTGCTTTTTTCATACTAGCATGTTTTTTCTAAGCCTCATTGGCATCTCTATGGAGAGAAGCACTTTTTTAAAAATATTTTATTTATTTATTTTTAGAGAGAGAGGAAGTGAGGGAGGAAGAAATGAAAGCAAACAATGTATGAAAACAACACCGGTTGGTTGCTTTTCGCACGCCCCCAACCAGGGACCCAGGCACGTGCCCTGACCGACAGGGAACCACGCCAGTGACCTCTCGGTTTGTGGGATGATGCCCAACCCACTAAGCCACACCTGTCAGGGTGAGAAATAGTCTAAAACAATTGGCTCTTCCCAGTTTTGAGCTCTCTTGGCTCCTCTCTACAAAGGAAGTCCATCAGCTTCTGCACTTGCCTAACTCTCAAGCAGAACTTGGTATTTCAGCTTTGATTTTTCAGATAAAACTTCAAAGTGAAGCTTGAGAAGAGTGGCTCCACATGAATAAAGCCAACAGAAAAATATCTAAACTTCTCTGTCACAGATCTGTAGAAATCATTCTAGAAAATAATCCTTTAAAGAATAAAATCGCAAGTCTACAAACATTCCGGCTTTAAGTAATAACCTGCTTTCACGGCCAAATCAATCAGTGAATCTGTATACAGGACACAGTGAAAATTTTGAAATTATGTTTAATATGAATCCAGTGAGCTGGGGGATGCCAAAACCCAGACCACCCATTGATAGCAGCATTTCCTAAACCCCATTATTTAGAACATTTGCATGGAATGTTAATAGATGTTCCTCAAAGAAAGGAGTCCATGATAAAATCACTATTAAAACAAAACAAAAAAACATTGCCATAACAAGACCACCCTGGCGGGTCACAAACATCATGACCTGGTAAAGGCCCCGTCGGTGTATCTTCACCAGTTGAATTGTAACCCAGAATTTCTGAAAATCATTTTATACCAGACGCTTCTGTTGAGGATTAATTATTAATACTTGTGGATAAAGTGGTAATGTCTTGCAAGCTGGGTGTGGAAGTGTTGGTCCAGATTAATTAGCTACTAAAGCAATTACCCAGTTTCCACTCCCTGGGCTTTGAACTAGCACAGTTTTAATGGCTTTGCCAAAATATTCCAAGTTAACCAACTCTATTGTTAAAAGTCTATTTTAGTCCAAATTTCTTAGTTTTTTAATTCAGGTAAAATGCATGAATTCTAAACAAGAAACATAAGTCAAAACATTTTCAGTGTTCTTACAAGCAAATAAATAAATAAGCAAACTATATAGTTCTATAAATCTAGTGGAATCATTATTATTAGTATATGAAGAGGAAATAATAGCCTCAGCACCAGTCTATAATGTGTAACTATGCGTCTGTAGAAGAGCACTGGCTTTAGAAGCTGATGTTGGAGAACCTCAAAAAATTGGATGATTAGAACAAAGAAAGAATTATTGTGAGATACCGACTCACCTGCAATATAATTTAAAACTGAACCAAATATTATGCAAAAAATGCAATGCTAAGAATGGTGCATTAAATATACTTTAAAAAATACTTTTTTTGATTATGTCATTGAAATTCCATTTTCCACAGAAGCAACTTCTGTATACAAACATTTGTAATGATATCATGTTAGCACATGGCACCTTAATTTATGAATGTACTGCAAATCAAATGATATCCTTCCAAATTACATTCAGCCAGAGTCTACTAAGTCATAATTAGTCTGTACAAGGTGGTTTTGTCTATACCTCCCTGCCAGTTTTTTTTAAAGATGCTCCATTGAAATCACAAAAATAACCATTAAAATACAATGAGCAACTGTCATTCTTTAACAGCATTTTAAAAGATGCTTAAAAAAACATGGCTTCTTTTGTCTATTTTGATGCAAACAGAGTACATATCTTAGACTCATTTTCTCCCTGATCCCTCTGTGATTGCTGGCATAGGACTTAGCCGACAGCGTGGTCTCAGCTGAATACATAGTGGCTAGATGGAGAAAAAGTTACAGGGCCTAAAGAGCGGCGGCCTCTTTGTCCCTGTCATCACTAGGACCAGCTAGGGCCCAGGGCCTCAGGGCAGCGAGGAGCATCAGATGGTCCCTGTGAAACTGCACATCAGATGTAGATAGTTTTAACCTTCTGTTGGGGTGTAACTTGGAGGTGATGCATGACCTAGGCCTGCTGGTTGGTAGGTGGCCTGCACTGCTAGTCATATAATAAGATTACAGGCTCGCAAGCAGTTCCTAGCAAGGCCAGATAAGATTCTGCCATATGTGCAAGCAGGCAATTTCATTTCTTCTGGCTTCATATTTCCATTTGAAAAATCCTTCAATAGATAACGCTGTGGCATCTCCATCCCTCTGCAGGGGAAGAGATGTGTGTGGCGAGTCTGGAAGAAGCAGCTGTGCAGGGTTTCCTTTTTATGTCTGGATCATCTTGACCAAAAAGAAGGGATGATCCAGCCATGCCTGACATACCACAGGGAGGCCTGAAGTCCTGCCTAGGACCGGATGAATAAGGGGATCTAAGGCAGGCCTGAAATGTTATAAATTGCAGATTCATAATCACATTCTCTGATTGCCTTTATCAGAAATCAAACTGATTTTCTTTTCCTTTTTAATTTCGATTTGTCTGACTGTGCCTTGTTTTTTTTTTTTTCCAATTGGTTCTTGTTTTAAGAGTGGGGAAAAGGAGTGTTACATAACAACCTCCTTACACCTTACCTGCCTCTGCACCTGACCATGTTCATGGCTACACAGAGCCGCCTCCCTGGGCTGAGAGACAGCCTGCCTTTCCTTTGCCCTCTTCCAAAGCAAGCTCCAAGTGTCTCGCCCCCTCAGCAGCCTGATCACAGTTATACAGCTGTGGGATTGACAGGAAAATTCACTCCGGCAGTGGGCTACCTTGCCAGCTATCACCTCTATGAGGACTTTCAGCCTCCTGAAAGTGGGTAGGTATATTAAAAGCCTGCTGGTGACCCTTTGGATGCACAACAAAAAAATGCAATTTTCTCTCCCTACAGAAAGATCCTATTTTGGTTCAGACTCTAAAAGACAGGTAAAGGGGGCTATGCTTCTTGACCTCCATCTCCTCTCAAGAGCAAATATTATAGTTTAATACTGTTGTTTTCAAAAAAAACATAGAACAAGAGTTACTTTGGAAGCCAGGCATAGTCCTTTACAGAACACCATACCTTTTGTCCTGATCTTCTTGGTTGTCACTTGATTTGCTTACAGACAGCAGCCTCTTGTCTCGAGGAACCTGGAAACATCAGCAACCATCAGTCAGACTTATGTAGATGCAACTGCGACCATGTGCAGAGTTAGACACCAGCATATGCAAAAACTGAGATGGAACATTCTCCAGAAGAAGGTGGCAGATTTGCTATAGCCAGGAGATGGTTAAAGGTTAGGAAGGTGCAGTGACAGTGGACCAGGCACAAAAGGGTGATGCTGCATGGAGGGCCACATCGACGATGGTTCTGCTGTGCACGTCTGGCACGGTCACCACTCCTGGACCTGAGCAACCCCTGGGCCCACCGCTCCTTGGGAGCAGATAGAAAAGGGACATGATAAGGGGAGGATGCATTTGGACACCTGTGGCCTAGAGCAGACAGAAGACATCCTGGAGTTGCCACAAGCCTCCTGCTTGAGAACAGGGACTGACCCTGTACTCTGATGAGGGGCGGCAGGTGCTGGCATGAAGAAGAGCAAAGGGGGCAGGGACCTACAACCAAGGCTGCCTACCCGGCAAAGCTGTCATTTAGAACGGAAGGACAGAAAAAGAGCTTTCCAGACAAGAAAAAGCTGAAGGAATTCAGCACCATCAAACCAGGATTACATGAAATGTTAAAGGGTCTTCTTTAAAAGAAGGGGGAAAAGATAAAAAATATGAACACTAAAATGGCAATAAACACATATCTATCAAAAATCGATTCTAAAAAAAAATAAATGAACAAGCAGAACAGAGACAGACATACAAAGAACATTTTGACGGTTGCCAGATAGAAGGGGGTTTAGGGGATGGGTGAAAAAGGCGAAGGGATTAAACAACAAATCGGTTGTTACAGAATAGTCATGGGGATGTAAAGTACAGCATGGGGAATATAGTCAGTAATATTCTAATAACTATGTATGGTGTCCCATGGGTACAAGATTTATTCAGGTAATCACCTAGTAAGTTATATAATGTGTATTCACTGGGGTGTACACCTGAAACTAATATAATATTGTATATCAACTGTAACTGAAAAATAAAAAATGAGTTTAAAAAGAATGAATAAATTAATTAATTAAATAAAAGACCATTTATGAAAAGACTTTTTCTTCTGAACTCCCTTAGCAATTCTTATGGCTTCCACTCACGTGAATATATAGGCAAGCCCAGTCAGCTGGACTAGGGAGACAACGCAGCAGCGTGGCTGAGTCAAGGCCTAGACTGAATTGTCTGGGTTCAAATCTCTAGCTCTACCATGAACTAAACCCTGCTTCACTTTCCTCATCTGTAAAACAGGATTATTGGTAGCTTTATACCACATAGGGTTTTTAGTAAAATTAAATGAGTTAATTTTTTAAAAATGCTTAGATTGTATGTTACTTTATAAGTATTAGTTAAATAGAAAAAAAATACATCAATTATAAGTCCTTCGTTCACATGTCAATGTTGAGGGTCTACAACATTCCAGGCATTTTGCTAAGTCCTAGATAAAAATGAAATTAATAAAACATAGCTCCTATCACCTACTGAAGATGATATATAAACATAAAATTTCTATACCCAGCATACCTATCGATATTCATAGCAGCATTATTCACAAAAAATGAAAACAACTCAAATGTTCATCTACAGATAAGTATATACATACATACAATTTATATACATAAAATGTGGTATATATATACAAGGGGATATTATTCAGCCTTAAAGGGAAATTTGGACATGCACTATAATGCGAATGAGCCTTAAAGAGATTACGTTAAATCCCATGTGACTCAAGTCCATACACCTCCCTCTGACTGCCTGCCTCCTGGTGCAGCCTCCAACATTTCTCCTTGGACTGCTGCAGCAGCCTCTTAACTACTTCCTTCACTTAATCCCTGGAAACCCATTTTGGATCTATTAAGAAAATTCAGAGTGATCTTAAAAATGTAAGTCTGGCCCCATTTTGCTCTTACATAACACTCTGCGGTGCTCCCTATTATTCTCCGGAGCGTGGCCTGCAGAAAGCCCCCCTCATCCTGAGCTGCCCCCATCACTGCCATGCGTATGGCCACACTGCACCCTGGACCAAGCAGCCTCCTCTCGCAGTGCAGGGAGCACACAGTACCCTCTGCCCGGGACGCAGCCCTCTGCCTTGCCCCAGCGCACCCGGGCCTTCTCCAGGGTCATTTGTTAGCATGCTTCAAGTCCCATCTGAATGTCCATCTCTGAGATTAGACTACAGCCTCCATGAGTGTCCCTGGTTTTGTCCCAGGTGCCTGAAATGGCAAGCCCTCACAAAACACTTGCTGAAAGAATGAATAAATCAATCAAAATGGCCTGGAAAATGCAAAACCCAAGAAGTAGGAGAAGTAGGGATCCCAAACACTAAAACATGTCAGCAACTCCCAAGACTCATGGAAGTGAATGTTACTATTGTCAAGATGCACTGATGAGCGCTCTGAGCGGACTGCTCAGTGTAGGACACAATGTGACAAAGACCATTACTAACCTTTGGGTGTGTTCCCCTCTGGGCCACAAAGACTACCCTCCATAGGATCACTGAGACCTCTGAACTCAGGCCACTCTCTTGAGTCTAGATCCACATTACTGTCTATCAAATATCTCTACTTGGACATACTACAAGCACATCACATTCAACATACAATTATCTTTCTCCCCGAAGCCTTTCTTCTGTATTCCCCACCTTGGTTAATTCACGAATCATCTTAGACATCTCATTCCTAGGTGTGGGGTTTCCCCACCAACTCTCTCTCCCTCGCACACACATACACACAGTCACCTGCCAATCTTTATTCAAGCAGATACTTAATGATTTCCTGAACATAATGCTTTGTCTCTATTTAGTGTTTATTGTGGTGGCTGACTTAGGGAGAAACTCACAGGGGTTGACCCAGGGAACCCCCAGCATCATGTTTATGTCAGGTCTTCATCATTTATGTGGATGATTGCAATGGACTGCTCACTGGATTCTCTGCCGCATAACCCACATCCCTGCTGCTGCTGCTGCTGTAATGTGTGCAAATCCTTTCTATAATCTACCAGGTCTATCTTCAAAATTCTTCAGTATTGGAGGAAATGATGCCAAACACTATGATAGAAGTATTATAAGGTATTTCATTTTCTTCTTAAAAAGGAAAGGCTGTTAAAACAAAACAGCTTATGAATATATATTAAGTCATTTATTCACTCATTTATCCAGCAAAAAGCAAGGCCATATGCACCTAGTCCTGGACACCTATTTGAGAGAATAAAGCCCAGTCCACCAGCCTGGCTCTTTCACGGGGATCTACTGCCTTTCAGACCAATCTTTGCAGCCCATCCCCGTCAGACCACCCCCGACCCCCCACCATCACCACCACGGTTCAGCAAGATTGATGACTTGGATTCCACTGAGCACAACCTGGGGTTTTACACTCCATGTTTCCTCATCTCCTGTTCCCGTAGCCTGGAATGCTTTCTCTCCATCTGCCCACCTGACAAACCCTCCTCCGCGTCCCAGCAGGGTAGGCACTGCCTCCTCTGGAAAACCTAAACTCTCCAGGGAGGTGGCAGCCTCTCCTCACTGCTCCCGCAGCACATCCCTTTCATAGCACTTCCTGCCACAAGTTGTGGTTATAGGCTCACAGGACTGTGTCTTTCCTAGGCTGTGACCTCTCAGAGATGTTGAACTGGGTCACATTTGCCTTTTGATATTCAGAACACCTCCACAATATCTATTGCCATGGATGGAAGGTCATAGCTAGTTAATAAATATTTATGGAATGGATGGATGAATACCATACAAATTGGCAAATAAACCAACCAAAACACTTGTTTCTGGCATTAGAACAGCTGCAAACCAACTGGCCAGGGAAGCACATTTTCATTGGACCTGGAAACAGATGATTATGAACCACCAGCTTCATCAGGAAAAAATAAAGTGAGATAAACTAAGTTAAACTACTTTTTAAAAAAAACTTACTACTGGAATTTGTCATGTTTTTCTGTCATGCCCAAAATTCACCACAAGGTCACATTTGACTTTAGAGTTCCTATTGGCAAGTAGCTTGAACTGGATAAAAAAAACTGGGCTAGTATTTAAGCCCCTAAATTACGAAAGATTCTAGCAATTTGGTTATTTTTACAGTAGATACCATCTAAGTGGCTTCAAGTATATATTTTTAAAATGTGAACCCATTTTAAAGGAATTTTTTTAATGGTGAACAGTGTTATAGACTGACTTGTGTGCCCCTAAAGTTCATTAGTTGAAGCCCTAACCGCCAATGTGGCTATATTTGGAAAAGGGAACTTTAAAGAGGTAATTATGGTTAAACAAAATCCTAAGAGTGGAGCCCTAATTTAGCAGGGCTGATGTCCTTATAAGAAAAGGAAAAGATATCGGGAGCACACATGCAGAGAGAAAAGGCCATGTCAGGACATAGCAAAAAGATGGCCAGCTGCAAGCAAGCAAGAAACCCCCTCCCAGCACTGTGATCTCAGACTGCCAGGCCCCAGAATTCTGAGGGGAAAAGTCTGCCGTTTACGCCACCCAGACCACCGCAGTCTGTTACAGCAGCCTGAGCAGACGAATACAGTGTAATGGAATGGACGTTAGGATTGCCCTGTGACCTTGCGTAAATCCCACTTAGTTGCCTCAACTATAAAATATAAAATGTGATGATGGGCTTCAGTGCAGTGATCCTAAGGTGACAGTTTTAAACTGTAGGTGGAAAGACTTGGACTTCTCCAAGGAAACACCACATGGCGATGACACAGGTGCTTCAGAAGGGGCTGGAGGTCCCGGGGGCCCTGGAATGGGGGGCCTTGGCAGCGTTGGTGGAGGGTTTGGCAGTGGCATCCAAGGTGAGGTCACAGCCATGCTCAGGACAAGGTCATGGCCATGTTCAGGTCCAGGCCGGGGCTGCGGAGCCCATGGAGCAAGGCCATCACCAAGCTGGGCTGCCTGATCCGGCATGTGAAGATCAAGTCCCTGGAGGGGAACTGCTCTTCTCCCTGCCTATTGAGGAGCCTGAGATGGACTTTTTCCTGGGAGCGTCCTTCTAGGACCGGGACTTGAAGAGCATGCCAGTGCGGAAGCAGACCCGTGCTGGCCAGAGGACCGGCTCAAGGCATTTGTCAACAAATGGCTTGGGGACTACGATGGACATGTTGTCTGTGTGTTAAATGCTTCAAGGAAGTAGCCACTGTCACCTGTGGAATCCTCATCCTGGCCAAGCTCTCTGTTGTCCCTGTGCAGCGAGGCTACTGGGGAAAGAAGACCGGCAAGCCCCACATCGGCTCCTGCAAGGTGAGCGGTGCTGGGGCTCCGTGCTGGGGTTCCGCATCCCCATCTCCAGGGGCCCCGGCCTCCGCTCAGCCCCCGTGCCCAAGAAGCTGCTGCTGATGGGTAGAACTTCGCCAAGGCCCCCTCTAAGACCTACAGGTATCTCACCCCCAAGCTCTGGGAAGAGACCGTGTTCACCAAGTCTCCCTATCAGGAATTCACTGTCCACGTGGTAAAGAGTTTCTGTGCAGAGGATGCAGGTTCCAGCTGTGCCACCACACAATTTTATACAAAGTAATAGTAATAATAATAATAATAAAGTGAATGAAGCATGTTTGAAAAAAGATTTTAAAATGTATAACGTGTTATGCTATGATATGCCCCTACCAGCCTCTAAGGACAAGGACCACCATTTCTTGAGTGCCTGCTGCATGTCGCGCACTCCTCTCTGGCCACGCCCACCACTCTCCCCTAAGGAATAATGTACTCCAACCTCAGGAGTAAGGAAATATGGTGATTATTACAAAAAGAATCAGATAACATTCCAAAGAGGTATTAAAAATTTATCAAATTAAAATAATAATGTGGCAAGAATTGTTACAATGACTTCCCAAAGTTTATCCTCACAAAATAGACTCTCTTTTCATTAACATTTTACTTTACTACAGCTAGAAGTTCTATTCTCAATGTAGATTTAACTTTGTTATAACTTTAACACGAGCGTATATAAGCTATGAACACTCAAAGGGCTGACTGAGGCCTGAAAATGATCATCCGGACACAGAGTTTTTGGAAACAAAACTAATTCTTTAACATTTAAAATGTTTCACATAAAAATATAGTAAAGCTTGTATAAAAGAAAAGAAGCCATGTAACTATACTAATATAAGAAAATACTAAGTCTTAGAGAAATATTTTATTTAAACATTTTATAGCCTAAATTAATCCTGGAAAATAGTAATTCAACAGAAAGAGTTATAGACTTGGCTACAAATTGAGTTTTATGTAAAGTTCCCCCTCTGCACCTTAAAATATTTAGAGAAAACAATATTTTCATATTTTCACTCTTTTTTTATATTAAAAATGTACAAGAGGAGAGGTAATCCAGGTGCTGTATTTACTAATATCTAATTATTCTCTAGGAAATAAAATACATTGCTTTCAAAAATTACTAATGATTTTTGCTGTTATATATGTTTGTCTTTCTCATTAAAACAAAAGAATTGCCATCTAATATAGATACATGAAATTATGTCCATTTAAAAATCTATTTTAAAAATAGAACAATGTATTTCTTCAAAATACATCGATATATTTCCTCCAAGCCTTATAAAACTATTAGCTAACATATTATTTTAATATAGTTATAAAAGTTACAAAAAGAAGTTGCAATGACCCAAGTGATTAAATCAGGGTCACTGATTATGTGTTACTAGATATTAAAAATTGATGAGACTATCAAGTTTTAACTATTTCTTATTATAAAGGAGAACTGGGATTTCTTTCTAAGGGTGAGGCCATTGCTGAACATTGCGCATTATCACGAACGTCCAATAAAGCTGAACCTCCAAGAAATGGCCTGGCCCAGGAGGCCATCTAACCGACGAGTTCTGTGTTTCTGCACCATCCTTGATAAATTTTGAAATTTCCACTCCAAAACATGTAGAATTCATCCCTGTATTTTTCAAATGAGCTTTTCAGTCTAAAAAGAATTGAAAGTATGAAATAACCACAGACGAAGACAAGGAGAAGGAAAAACCAACCATGAAACCATCTTTGTTTTTCAGGCTCATTTTGTTTTTTCAGGTGCTACCTGTTTGCTGGAGGAAACTGCTCCACTTCCCTGAACTGGTGTTTAGTCCCTAACACATCCTTTCATCCAGAGCCCAAGTCCCCCAAATGTAAAATCCCTTCTTGCTACATCAGGCGTAAAAATTCCCAGTTGGGAGTTTTACACCTTCCCAAGAGGGCTGCCATGAACTCCCACCTCCGCTCCCTTGGTCAGGGGAAAAAACCAGCAGAGACCGGCAAGGGTGCCAGTGGAATATCCTTCCTATATTTCCCTAGTGCTTTCTGATAATAAAAGATGCATTTATTTAAGTTAATCATATCCTTATTTAATACACCCTAGATGGTCTGACCTGTCAGTTACTCATACCTTGTTTTGCATCTTAGATAAGACCGGCTTGTCTTGACTTTCATTCATCTCCCCACAGAGGGAGTGCTGCTGGGTGTTTTGATGGGGACATGGGAAGAAGCTGGAGGGGAACGAATAATTGCAGGGCACTTCAGGGGAAGAGCCCGCCTGGGGCAGTCCCAGAGCAGGTGGTGGTGGGAGATCGTTGGGAAGCATGGAAACTCTGGTTTAAAAGAGAAACAGGGAAAAACACAACTTGCAAAAGTGGAGACTACGGAGAGGAAATAGGTAATAATAAGCAGGAAGGAAATAAGAAGTAGTGAGCAGGAAGGAGACAGGAAAGCAAGACTGAAACTTACTAAAAGGGAAATTGTTCCTTTGACATGATTTTCTCATGATAGACATAGAAGGGGATGTGGGGAGTCATTTCTTATTCTAAAATAAAAATTCACTGTGCCCAACCAAAAAAACAAACACTACCACTCTCACCTTTGAGCAATTCCCAGCAATAGCAAATGATTTTTACCATTAAAGCAGGCACTAAATGTCCTCATTCAGTAAATACTTGTTGATTATATACACCTTACTCATTGTAAGGGAGCAGGTCATACCAAATATATGGTCCTTTCTAGCTGAGACAGACCATTGTTGGTTGTTTGATTTCTTGAAATACTCCTATTTTGAAGGTGCTGTAGGGCAGATATTTTTGTAATATAAGTGTATTACATTTATTTTGTTTTAAAGGCTTTTCCAAATATCTAGTACCCATCAAAACAAATGGAGACAGTTAGGACTGTAACAAGATTAGGTTTTGAAATTGCTACAAAAGTCTATCCCAAGAGCATTCCTTATAAAACTGAAAAGTCTGGAAACCCTGAATGTTTCTTATAAAATGGAAATCTAAAGGCAACCTAAATGCCCAACAATGGAACAATCACTAAATTATGGTATAGCTATGCAATGTAACATCCTTTAGTCACTAAAAATAATAATCATAAAGTGAAAGTATTTGCAATATGGCACGAGTAGGAATTATATGTAAATAGTATGCATGCATGTGATCAGAGGACACAGAAGAAAGCCTCTTCTGATGGGTGGGAAGTTGTGCTTCATCGATAGGACGTCAGAGAGGCAGTGAGAACAGGAAGAGGCTGGATGCCATAGGAGTGTGGAAATACAACTTGTTCCCTGGTCTGGGATAAAGATTCTGTCCCCTCTTCCCACCACTGAGGGGAGGCCCTGGGGGCAGGGAGAGGAAGGAGGGGCTGCAGGTCTACCTTGTAATAGTCATACAGCAGGCCGAGGGCGGCGGCACTGTCCTCATCGCCGTTGATGCTCATCATCGCCTTGGTGGCCGCAGTCAGTGGATTCTCCAAATACGACTTCCAGGCTTCATCCTCACTAGTGTAGGCTCTTCGGGTATTGAACGGAGGGTCACTGGGCATGGGCACTAAGGCCACCAGTCGTTTATTACTGTAAAAGCAACAGAAATGTGAGCTTCATGATCAGAAAAATATTTATTTTCCCACTAATCATATACACATTGCATGATTAATTTATACTTTTCCAAAATGGAGAGGAAGAACGATCGAAACTTAAGTGACTGCCACATTGTATTTGATAAAGCCACCGATTTATTTTCTTCACTGCGAGAATAATGATCTTTAAAATGTTGTACGAGTAGCTTAGGTTGATCCCCTTCACACTTGGTTACCCATATCCAATCATTCTAGGAGCCAAGTCATTTTATTTGATTACTCTTCATTAATGAATATTACAATGAAACCCTGCGAGGAAGAAGGTTTCATTTAACTCTCTGAGTTCTAATTAGAAATATGTGCAATAATACATAAATGTAATCACAAGTTAATGGTTATTTAAAATCATCTCATATCTAGTTTAACCTACATCTGAAATTGCTAGAGAATTGGAGGCTAATCTAAGTCTGTTAATTAAAACAGGCAATACAAGCTACTTTGCAAATAAGACATATTGCAGATATGCTGCGTAATAAGGATATAAGAAGCAAAGAGTTGAGACAGTGTTGCCACAGAATCCTACTACATTTAAATGACACGGAAGCTACAGGTTACACAAATCACCCCAGACAGCGAGGAGTGTATCCATAGAGAATTTTCAGTAGAGATCACATTAGAGATTTCATAGAAAGGAACTGGAGCAATCGTTTATTAACCCTAACCTAGCCAAATATGGGTAAAGCAGCAACTGACAAGGCAATTTCTTGAGGAGGATGTCATAATGATTCAAATATCCAAAGACCACGACTGTCCTCAGCAGCTGGCCCTCAGGACCCAGCTGTGCAGCAGAGGAGCCTGGAGAGGCTTTGGCCCTCCTTGGCGCTCATCTGCAGGCCCTCTTCCACTTGTTCATAGAAATGGAAACAAAATGGAACAATGAGACACTGTATTTCAGTAACAGCTCTGTCCACTCACTGTAACATGACAGGGACAAGTGACAGGATTGGCGAAGGCAACACCTACACTAATCAATGGGAATTCAGCCACCGTGGGTCCTGATGGTTATTCACTTCTAAATGAGGTTCCTTTTGCTGACCTTTCTCCAGGACCTTCCTGTGGTAGATGGTGTCTCAGCTCACTCTGTGATGGAGAACTGGTATGACTCCACAATTGTGTGTTGTGGGTCACTTATGCATTTATGTGCAGGTGTGTTGGCATGGACTGGTATAAGGTCAGAAAATGACTCTGACATTGGTGAGATAGGTTTGGGGGTATACGGTAGGAAATTCACAATTAGCAGGCCAGGATTCTAGGCTAAATGGTCTCCAGGTCCCTGATTTGAACCCTTTGTGCCAGTGGTTTGGTGGAACTGATTGAGGATAAAAGAAAGGATATTAACCCATTTGCAAATGAAGTGGATTAAAAGGATAAAATCAAGTTTCTGGAAGTAAATGAGAAAAGCCCTGGTCGAAGGGTTTGCTAACTGTTAGGGTTAGGGTCAGGTGACACAGGAGACGCAGAGACTCTGGCCATGAGTCCTTGCTTGCCACCTACAGTGGTGGAAAACTGTCTGAGCTGCAGCTTCTTTGCACCTCACGTAAGGATAGCAGTGCCCACCCTACTTACTCCATAGTGTGATTTGTGAGAATCAAATAAAATAATGGATAAAATAGAGTTTTTAAATTGTACCTGCTATGCAAATAACAGGTATTACTATCGCTGCATATGTCTACATCCCTGTGAAGTTTGTGGGCATACCCATGTTTGGTAAAACTGATTATAATGTAAAAGTGCTAACAATAATCATTCATTAAAGAAAAAATGAAGCTCTCATTTAGCAATAGTCCATAGTATTTATTAAGAGCCCAATAGGTACCATGCATCATGCTACTTACAGAGGACACAGCGGCAAATGAAACAGGTACTGCCTTATAGCCCACGTAGCTTGCTGTCCAGCGGGGCAGTCAGAGCACCACAAGAGGGATGAGTGTGAGAAAGGGAAATGGACAGACATGAGGGTAGATGACAGAGGGGACTAACCTAATCAGAGGGTCAAAGAGGAAGTGGTTTCTACAAAGTCCTGAAGGGCAGGTAGCACTGTGCTGGCCAATGTTGAAATGGTCAGGTGTGGGAAATATTTCTGAAGGTGAAGAATATTTTGGCAATGCAGAATAATAGAATTTTCTGACAAAAGGAGCACCTTTGTATTCATTTTGGAAGCTCAGGTAGGGAAATGTGCATGCTTTGATCTAACAATTAAACAATAGCATTTTTGTGTTGTAACAGTTATTAATCATATAGGATAAGGTTGAATTTGGAGACAGAAATGTTGGTGAACTCATAAAAGTCTACAGGTGGAAGAAATAAGGTCTCTGGGGAGAACCAGGAAGGCAGAGGTGGCGGGCCCATGTTGTGGCGGTGCCACCATCCACCTTCCACCGCTGTTTAGTTGGGGTCTCCCTGGGTGCCTGGTCTGCAGTCTCTACATGAAGGGCGAAATAGAGGGTTCTAAACCCTAGTCATTGCCCATGAGTGCCCAGGCACCATGCACACTTCCTAAACATGTTCAGCCCTACAGGAAGGAATGAAGAGCTTCATGTTATTTGCAGTTACCTCACTATCAAAAAAAATGAGGATTTTATTCTGTTTCATGCCTAAGAGAAGCACATATCGCTGGGGGAGGGGAGTGTTAATTACAACATTGGCTAATTTCCAAAAGTTTTCCAGGAAGTGCCAGGCTGAAGGATGAGAGCCAACTTTTAATCTACACTAAGTAGTGTCCTGATTCACTGGTGAGATTTTTCCTTGAGTCTTCCTTCTTAAAGTCCCTACTCCCTCCTGCCAAACTTCCTGGATTGCTGATTTCATCTGTTCCCAGCACAAATGTTCCCTCATAAATTCAGACTCATCAGCCTTTCCCCTATGATGAAATGGTTGATGAATCCTTACACGATCAATGGAAAGAAATATTCTGGGAAAGTACAACTTTACTTGTTTCTTTTAATATTTTTCACAGCCAAAGGGGCCTTTTGTGCTCTTCCCTTGAATTGCATAATGACTTTGGTATTTTTTCTTCACAGATTATAATCTCTCTGGTACAAAGCACTTTGAATAAAGCTTGGTTTTATAACAACAGAATAATCTCTCTGGTACAGTGAGCAAAAATGTAGACTGGTTAAAAAAGGAAAGTTTCACAGAGCAGCTTTTACCAAAATTTGGAACAATTTCTGTAGTTGATTTCATCATTGTTCTAACTTTGCTATGATCAACTTTTTAAATATCTTTTGTGTAGCTTTAGTTATATTAGGTTCCAGGTAACCTCAAACACAGAACTATAAAGAGCAACTATAAACTTGATCTCTAGGTCTTCTCTGGAGGAAACGTCTAGATTAGTACCTGAGCATTCACAGTAAGCCTAAGGCTGTGTTAGGTCACACATACACACATATAACTTTTCCGTTCTCATTTGTTTTCTTTTATCCACTACTTCATTTTGTGGATGTTAAGAGAACAGCTCAGAGATGAGTCATCAGCTTTAGTAGCAAAAGAGGTGGAGCAGTCATGTGATTGAAATCACAATCAACAAGCTAAGAAAAGCTCCAGATCACTGTCAGAGACAATCTACCATCCCCCACCCCTGAGCATTAATAAGAGTCTAAGGCAGGAGTGCTTTCCTGGAGAGAAGCTTATGAAACTTAGCACACAGCATCTTTGCCTCCTAAAAATACAAGTAGTAATAGTCGATAAATCCACTTCACTTGGGACCACAAAACAAAAATAAGGAGAGTGAATTGTTCACACAAATGATCATTTTCAACTCATTTCTCGTCCATTTCTTTCACAACTCCTAGGAGGGCACTGGTTTTTGGTTTTTCTTTTGTTTTATTTTTTTGTTCTGTTTTTTGTTTTTTCTGTAATTTAGGGGGAGGGTGGTTTTCGAGTTGAGTAAATCTCAGTTTTAATCTCAGTTCTGTCCTAGGAGACCTCCAATGATACTTATCTCCTAGAGTTTTCCCTCCCTCATTGTTCCAGAACTGCTTTATAGGACCAATAGCATAGAACAAAAGTGGTACCAGAATGAGATAATACAGTCTGCAGCTTCCATCTTGGTAAATCTGAGTCAGTCTCTCTCTCTTTCTTCAGGAAAAGCAAACTGCCATATTGTGGGGAGGAACTGAAGCCTTGGCCAACAGCTAAAGAGGAACTGAAGACCACCAACAGCCACATGAGTGAGCTCAGTAGATTCTCCAGAGCCGAGGCTTAAATCAATCATAGCCCCAGATATGAACTTAAACTACAACCTTATGAGAGACCCTGAGCCAGAACCAGTCAGCTCAACTGCTCTCAGATTCCTGACTATCAGAAACTGTGACGTAATTAATACTTGCTGCTTTTGCTGCTCAGTTTTGAGATGTTGCACAGCAGTAGATAATTTATAGCCTCCTAATAATTTTCCCTGCTTTAACCATGACCCTCACCACCCCCTCGCCCCCCACGCCCCTGCTTTCCTCCAGTCTATTCTCAGCAATACAGCATCTAGAGAAATCCCATTAAAACACAAATCAACCCTGACCAGCGTAGCTCAGTTGTTTGGGCATTGTCCCAAAAGCAAAATGTCACCGGCTGGATTCCCAGTCAGGGCACATACCTAGGTTGCAGGTTCAATTCCGGGTCAGGGTGCATGGTCAGGGTAAGTAGTCAGGACGAGTACGAGCCAACCTATCAATGTTTCTCTCCCTTTATTTCTCCCCACCTTTCCTTCTCTCTAAAAATAAATAAGTAAAATCTTTAAAAATAATAAATAAATCATACCATGTCACTTTGTGCTCAATCCTGTAGTGATTCTCCATTCCCTTAGAACAAAAGTCAATGTCCTTCCAATGGTCTACCAGACCCTACAGGATCTCACCTCCCTTATTACTTCTCCGACCTTCTCTCCTAATACTTTCCTTGTTATTCATTCTGATCCTGCTAAACTGATTAGATGTCTCTACC